AACATGATTTTCTTTGTCCATTACAAGCTTCATGGACCAACTTAATTTTCCTTGTGTAAAAATGACCCCTAAAAATAAACCAGCAGACAAAGATTCAATATGAATCAGTCATCTGCTTTGTGATTCCTGTTTTAATAAAATGCAAGCATTGAAATATCTGCATTTCAAGAACAAAAAGAAGAATCAGTAATTCTACAGCAGAAATGTGTCCTTCCTATTGTTTTTCTGCAGTAACACCTTTGATCAGAGCAAAAAAAAAGAAAAATAATTTAACAATGTTTTTTAACAGAGTTCTATGATCATAACCATGTAAAAAAATGAGGCATCATTCTCAGTAAATTAGGTCTATTCTACCATAAGTAACATAAATAAGTGTCAGATGTGTGTTAATGTGCTGGAAACAAGTGAAGTCAGAGTAGAAACTAGATTTTATAAACGAGCATCAGTGATGCTTAAAGAGAATGCAGACAGCAGTGCCTGATATTTTGTTAGATCATCTGGATTTTGGGATTTTTGCCATTTCCTTCTGAGAGGCTCGGCAGCTTTAGTGGATAGCTTGTCTTTGGGTAGAAAAGATGCTGGCAATTGTATTGAGAGACCAGCCGACCAAATCCATGGTTAGGCTTTACAATTAAAACAAGATTAAAAAATACATTAAATGATGAATAAATGAAATAATAAATGGATTTAAATGCAAAGGCCGGGCCTCTCTCAGAGGAGCAGTGTCTGTGGACCGTCCTGCTGGAGTCTTTCTCCAAAGCCTCCTCTGACAGACACACTGATCCAGCTCCACACCTTCAGCAGCTCATTGGCTGCAGATCCTCTGCTTCCTGGTTCAGCTTCTGCTTTACTTCTGTGTGCTGCCTGTAGAGAGCCTCCTCCAGCCCTTTACAGCCTGGAGCTGCTGCCCCGGGGGTTTGTGTTAAAGAAGAGTCTTAGCCTGTGTCTGAGGAAGCACGGGGTCATTTCATTGAGAGCAAACTTCATCAGGTGACAGCGTCCACCATGCCGACGTGCAGAGCAAGACAACACCTGCTACCTCTCAGAAAGCTGAGGATAACAGGAGACCATCACCAAGAGAGCTGAGCATGTGACCAGAGCCAAATGTTTCCGTCACAGCTGCGTTTTTCCAGGATCCACATGGCGTTTCTCCAGTGGAAGCTTCACTGGTTGTGTTTCTCTGCAGCAGCATTCAGCTCATGTCAGCTGCTGCTAGTTTGCTGCTCATGAAACAAACTGTGAGGATCCTCACTGTTCCAGAGAGGGCCCCACATGTGGAAAGAACCAGTCCTGGGCAGCTCCCTGCCCTCCAGCATCCATTCCCTCTCTCTAAAGCAGAGACAGTTCAGCCTGGTCCAGAACTTAACTGACCTGTTCAGGGGTCAGGGATAACTGTAAAAAAATACAGCTTTTGTAAAAATCTCAACTGTCCTACCAAAGATGAACCTCTTGGTGAGCTTTACAGTAAGAAACAGATCTGTTCTCCTTACAAACTTTGAGAGTTTAAATCAGTTTTTAAAAGAAAGAGCAACAGGGTTTCCTTGATAATAATCAAAATTGCTTATTTTCTTCCATCAATATTGTGACATAGCTCTGCTTCAAACTTCTCTCTAGGATGAAGAGTCTGAGGAAACAATGTCTGCTGCCTTCACAGACGGGGGTCAAAAGGCCTTTAGAGGCAACATGTTGTGTTACTGATGCTTCACTTCCCATTTCTGAACATTCGGGTGAAGCATTCAGCCTCCTCTGAAATGTTAACACATCGTCCTTGTTAGCAAACGTCTTTACCACTCGTTTGTGTAGCCATTCCATCTATTTTACAGCCTTCTGTCTGTCACCAACATTTGCTCCACGGTGACACAGTAACCGTGGGGTAAGATGGCCGACACGGCTACACGGCGCACCGAGGGCTCTCAGCTGAGCTGTTGGAAAACTGTCCCAACCACGACACTGCGTACCCCACCCCTCTCCACCACCCCTTGCGAGGACTGCCGGAAAGCGGAAAGATACATTACTCACCTCAAAGCAGACATCAGACGGCACTCGGACGATCTACGGAAAAAAGAGTCTCTTCTTACTGACTTCATTGACACTGCAGCCACGCAGTCTAAAATCATCTCCACCATGGATTCAGCCATGGCCGACACCATCCTCTGGGACCCTCCTTCATTATGCCACCGGCCCTCCTCATGCTCAACCCCCAGCTCACAGGCCTCCTGGTCAGTGGTAGTGGGTAAAGG